ATGAATTCAGATTAACTTATTCTGCTCCTGATGATTCTCTCTCTTTAAATTGTTGGCAGTATTTCTTTAAAGAAGGCATCACTGTGATATTTAGGACAATAGAATACTGTCTCATGGGATTACTGTTAAAGAATGAATTCTGAAAACAATGAATAGTTAGTGTGTAAATAAGGCAAGATGGGAATACCTAAGTAATTAAATAATCCAGTTCCAGGTGACTAAATCCCATCAGGAGTACCATTTACTTCTTTTCTTCATTTCTTAAAAAAATATCCACAGAAAATTGTGGTGGGCCAGTGCTTTCTATGCTAATTCATACAGGATAGAAGACATTTCCAAAGAAGGCAACTTTTGCAAGAACATCCTCCATTGTAATTGTAGAGATTGTGGTAGCATCAGTCATTCTGTTTTCTTTTATAACCTGCAGCTAGCTGGCATGTTGCAATCCAGGTACCATCATCTCTAGTACAAACCTTAGTCTCTGCAAAGCACCTAGATCCATAAAAAAAAAGGTTCTAGAAAATAAAAGAGAGATCTGGCTTAAACCCAATGAGATTTTTGGAAGACTGTTTGCCTGTTCAGGAAAAAGAAAAAGACTAAGATCAATTGGGGAAAATCTAAGAGATGCTAGAAGGAATGTTTCAGGACAGTTCAACCATGTACCTCATGGGAAATACATCTGTAATTTTAATATAGCCATTTTCTTCTGCTACCAGTGATGCCATTTTGTGAAGAACAATACCTATTTAAGGTATTGTTAAGTAAGGTCTTAAATGAGCCTCCAACTGAAAAATATTGGGAATTATTGGATTGCTCCATTTCTGCTATAAGTGAGAATCTTTTTTTGCAGACTGATTAATTTGGCATTTCAATAGAATGTTTGCAGATTTTTATTTTTATATAAATATTTACTTAGAGGAAACCAAAACAGATTAGACAATCACTGGGAGATTTTCTTTGCTATTCCCAAAGGCACCAGAAATTAATTACAGGTTAGATAAAACTGTTAAAAAACAAACAAACCCTTTTTAAACTTTGGTTTGCTTGCTTCCCTTAATGTTGAAACAAAGTACACTTTCTGGGGAGCCTCCAGGCACACTAAAGACCACTCCAGAACCAAACTAAACCCTGTCAGTTTCCATACCCAATCCTTTGAAAGAGTGTAAAGCCACAATATGATGGTGATGATGATGATGATGATAGTGAGGATGGTGGCGATAAAATTGGTATGGCCTGCAAAATGTATGCGGGAAGTACCAGGAATTTCACTGCTTTGGAAAATGTTTGGGGGTCCCCCCCCCTTCCTGTTATTATGCTAAAAGTATTTTATTGCTTACTTTTGTTATAATACAGATATCTCTTTTATTCAAAATAGAAAATTGAGCTGTTAATTTTTGTTCAGAGTAATGGGTGAAAAAAAATATGGGAGGGAAGAGGGGTACCAGGATTTTTTTAGCATTGTTTTTACTTTTCCTTCTGCTATGTTACAAAATCGGTAAAGCATAGATGGATGGTAAGACAGCTGGCACTGAAAAGATAAGACAAAACAAAAGAATTTTTTAAAGCTATTAAAATGTCACGTGCTTCAATCTTCAGCCATGTATCCTTTAAAATGTTAATAATGACTTTTATGAAGAGGAGGGAATGTTTTTCAGATTTAAAATGATATAAAACTGGGTGAAAAAGCCAGCCCCATAGAAGGCAGAAATAAAATTCCAGCTCATCTTGCTATGTTAGAGAAATGGGACGAGAATAATAGTATGAAATTTAACAGAGACCAAATGCAGAATTCTTCACATAAAAAGCAAAAGTCAAATGCACAAGTATGGGATGGAAGATATTTATTTTGATAACAGTATTTCTGTAAGAGATATTGAAACAGTAATTGAATATAATTTTTTAGTATGTAATTGCTAAAATGTAAATGCACATTTTGACTACAGCAACAAAAATATAGTCTTACAAATCACAGAACATAGGTCCACTTTATTCCAAGAAGCAATGGATGAAAAGTAATCAAGGAGAGAAGCAACGCAGAACTAAGGAGAAATTTCCAGGCAATTAAAACAATCAGTGGAACAAGTTGCCTCTAGAAGAGGTGAATGCTCCAACACTGGAAGTTTTTAAGAAGAGACTGGACAACCATTTGTCTGAAATGATATAGTTTCCTGCCTGAGCAGGGGGTTGGACTAGATGACCTCCAAGGTCCCTTCCAACTCTGTTATTCTGTTATTCTGTGTTGGGCAGACCTCCTTTGAGTATTGGTCCATATCTAGCAGAGCATTTTAAGAAAAATTCAAATAAACAGGGACAGGTTCGGAGAAGGACTAAGTCCTATGAAGTGAGGTTGAAGAAAACTGGTAATGTTTATTCTTGAGAAGAGTAGATTTCTCTTCTCAAGCAACTGGGTCAGGACACAATTGCATTTTTAATTTCTCCAAAATCATATCACATCAGTATGAGATACAGAGTAATAGATGTAAGTTACAAAAAGGCATATTCTGATTGAAAAACAAATGCTATTAATAAAAGTAGTAAAACAGTATAATCAATTACTCAGGCAGGCAATAGATTCACTTCTATTGGATATTTTCTACCAAGAGGCAGATGACCATCTGTCATGGAAGTTATAATTTGGATTCCTGCATTCAGACATTGGAATGGGTTGGCCTAAATTGCACCTTCCAACTTTGTTTCTAGGTTTTAGTTCAGGTACTCAAGGACCAGATTACAACTCTTTTGCTTCCTAAATTCCAGTTGCTCCTCAGAATGATTGCTTGTGGGATGAAAGAGCAGGTCCCCAGAGCTTTTAAATCATCTTGTAAAGGTATTGCACACTTTCTTCAGGGTGAAAACTGACCAAATTTAAAGGAAGAATTAAAAACACATGGAAACAAACTAAGGCGCTTTTCAGCACTAATGAAAGTGAAAATGAAATCAAAGACAAATGTTCTGGCTAAGCTCAATTTTCAGTATGCAGAAGCCATGGCTGAGATGTGGGCAAGAGAGATTTCTGTCACTTATCATCAGAGATATAATAGACAGTATGCAATACATATCAGTTACAGATAATCTGCACCTCAATTTTCAAAGATTATATTCTTATAAAATGATGAGAAATTGGGGGGGGGGAGACACTCAAAATAAAAAAGCAAAACTTAATAAATGCCAAAAAGAGAGACATTGAATGTACACCTGCAAAATTTGTCAGAGTTATTTATAGTAACTTTTTATTGATGTTCCCTGCTGTTTGCAGATATTCAACCTTTTAATGTCTGTCTTTACTTCATTTTCAAGTGTATACATTTCTCCCCTGCCAATTTTGGGAAAGGAAGGGGGAGAGCGGAAGAGAAGTGGACTTCTGTTTCCTTCTTGATTAGTATTCTAATAATAACCAGACCTCTTCTCTTTGCTTAAGCACGAATAGAAAATACAGCATTTGCTTCAAGAACTAGAATTTTTTATATCAAGGTCTTCATTTCCTTGATGCTTGGCAAATGGATGCCACAAATTGATGCTTCCACTATAAATAGATAACTTTTTTTATACATGATTGCTATGTTACTATAATTATCACATATTTATGTAGAAAAAGGAGAAAACCCCACAATTGCAGAATTCAATTTATTCAAAAATGTCAGTATCCAAATGTTACAATTTCTGGAAGAGTAATAAAATATTCTTCTTTTGCCCACACTAAAGGATGGAATTCATTTTAATTGTTGATTTTAATAGTGAAACTTTGTTTTATGGTTAGTCATATGTGAGTCCTAGAAGATATGGAACAGAAATTGGATAAAGTTCCAAAGAATTTTTGTAATGTGAAAGCATGAACTCAGATTATTCAAGCTGTATCTTTAAGATTTATATGGCAAAAAAAAGAAGGCGAGAATCAAATGTAAATTGTTACAAGAATCTAAGGATAGAGGGGGCTTTGGACTTCCGGATTGGAGACTTTACTATCAAGCAGCTATTTTGCTTTGGCTTAAAGAATGGATTGTATTGAGAAATAAAAGATTGCTTTATTTAGAGGGACATGACCTTCAGCTAGGTTGGCATGCTTTTACATGGTATGGATATTCTATAGATTTGGAAGACTGGCAAAAACTTTGGGATAAAAACATTAAGCTTACAAAAGCGGAAGCATATAAAGAAAACTTATATAAGATGTTCTATAGATGGCATATGACACCAGTTCGCTTAGCGAAAATGTTTAAAAATGTTTCGGATATTTGCTGGAAATGTAAACAACAGCCAGGCACTTATTACCATGCCTGGTGGACATGCCCTATCGCTAAGAAATATTGGTCTAAGATTCATAGATGGTTGGAAAAGATGATGAAACTACAAATAGAATTTAAACCAGAATTGTTTTTGTTAGGAATATTAAGACCTAATTATGGTAAAGAGAATGACTACTTGATATTGCATGTTTTAACTGCTGCAAGGATAGTATTTGCCCAATTTTGGAAAAATGAGAATTTACCATCTGACCAGATTATTATTACCAAAATTCTAGAGTGTGCAGAAATGGATAGACTAACATTAGAAATGAAAGAAAAAGATGATTCAATTTATTTTAGAACTTGGGAAAATTTTTATCAATGGTTAGAAACACGTTAGAACTTGAAGGATTTAATATTTTAGAATATATGACTGATTTTTAATCGAGTTCTAACTAACATTTTGATGATACTATTACTTTTCCTGACTTACTGATTTTCATTTGTTACTTTTGATTGTTAGGATTTATTTTTTTATTTTTTTGTGATTTTATTAGTAGTGTTCACTTAATAGATCAACGTATTTGTTTACTAATTATTTTTAATATGTTACAGTTTAAGCTTTGTTAAAAATAGTTGAATATGATACTTACTCATTATTATGAACCGGACGGTTGCTTGTTTGTTGAAATATGTGATTGTACCTATCCTTATTTTACCCTAATCCCTTATTTCCTTCCCCTCCCCTTTTCCTTTTTACCCTTCCCTTTACCATACCTGAATTTTTCCTATTTTTCCTCACCTATATAAATTTAATAAAATTTTGTTAATAAAAAAGCTGTATCTAATACGATAGAGGGAAGATTAAGGCTGAATTTGCTGGTTTTATCTCTTATGATAAAATAGGATGTTTATTGGTATTGGACTATTCCTACACAGAATTAGAATGATTTATTTATCTATAAAATTGGCTAAAATGAAAGGAAATCCTTTTAGAATGTTATTTTTATGAGAAAAAGCAGAAATTAACATTAGCAGCCTTAATTCATAAAAATGAATGGAAAGTAATAGACATATTCATTTCTTATACTGAATTATAAAATTTTTTTGAAAAGTAGATTAGAGTTGATTACATTTTAAGCAGAACCAATTAAATCAATAAGGCCTTTGTCTATTACAGTTAATTTGTATCAGAATTCTTTCCAGCAAACTAGACTGTAGAAAATGAACAGATATAACAAGGATACAGAAAATTCTGATTTATTGTAGAAAAGCATTATATAAGGTGTTGAGTAGCTGCTATGTTTTAAATCAAATATAAATTCTAATTATATTGTAATCCACATTCAAATTGTTGTGCCTCTTTCTCCCAGTGATTGTATTTGAAGGAATAGAAGTGATTTCTTTTTAAAGACTACAACGGAGCATTTGTATCTGTTGCTTCTTTTAGTAATATCAAGATGTAGACTCAAGCTATTTCTTTTAAGTGTGTGACAAATGATTCCCACACACATCACAGTGATTTCATTGTTATCTACTCTAAAAATAATTACTGGTAGGTCCAACCCATTACCAAACGAATTTTTTTAAGAAGACCATAAATGTATGACAAAATGTAGATAATTAATTTTATGCAAGATTTTATGGAATTCAGTCTGATTTTTTAAAAAAAAAATCAGTATGATGTTTGTGTGTGTATGCATGCAGGCATGCATGTGCATGTATGCATATGCATGTATGTATATATACATATATGCATATAAAAATAAAATCAACTGCTACTTCCCACCTCTACCCCATCTTTGAAAACATTTATTAGCTTTAAATCAGTGGCTGTTTGTTATCCCTTTACTGCCTTCAAACTCTTTTATGGCCTCATAGAAATCATGCTAATAAGATTTTGCTGCAAAATACTGTACAACAGAGATGCACATAAAATGGAAATAAAATAAAGATGGCATGTAAGCCATCAAGTAGGAATAACACATGAGAAAGGCGAGAAGAAGAAGAAGAAGAAAACCCTTTTCAAACTGCTGCAGAAAAACCCAGCCTCTCATCTCAATATGATGTCATTGTACTACTGCTTCCCTTTTGGCTGTCAAATAGTGGCCTGCCCTTGGTTTAAATAGAGAAAGAACCTCTATGCTCTTGTAATCCACCTTTTGCTACCACCATCCTTAAGAGTTTCAAATCTTACTTGGTTAATAGTAACAAGTAATAGTAATAAATAAACAAGATATTTCATATTATTATGTGGATATATCATATTTTCATATTAGAAAAAGAAATTAAAAATATGTAATTGGTCAGGAAGGACACTATTATTTATCGATCAATAATGGAGTTCCTACAGTCCAATGTTCAGGAACCAATGAATCTCACCAACTCTTGCGCTCAACTAGAAGGATGTGGTTTCACTTGAGCTTATCGAAAAGTAACCCCTTCCTTTCCCTATGTTAGAAGATATGGTTTGCATCAACTGGGAAAAAACAGTTTGAAAAATCAATGCTAGAAAGCCTAGAATGGGATTGACATCTCAAGATTATACTAGATAAACAGGGAAAGCAATTGCTGAAAAATTATTATAAGCTTTTTTAAAACATTGTTTTGTTTTTGACTGGCTTTTAAATAGATATAGGACTATCTGTGTATGAAGAATTATTTTACATCATTTCTGAAAAGTCACTTATACCACTAGAGGGCAGTCTCGTAATTTTGTGCAGCCTATATTTTCTATTTTTAATTAAAAGATATGCAGGCTGCAATATAGATGGATCATAATTGACAAGGAAAGACAAAAGATTGTCTCTTCAAACAAAAACTAACAGAGCCAAGCACATCTATGGATTATGCTTTCTTTTGTCTAAAACACTGTGCTAATTGACTGAATTTACCTTTTTTTTATGAGGAAGCTTAAACTAAAGCAGACTACCAAACTGTCGATTCAACACTGCTCACTGTTACTCTGCATGACATCTGTCACATACAATATTTTATTCACATTACTTAAATTGCTAGATAGAGCTCAATGGTGCCCTAGCATTGTGTAGAATTTCCTGCAAAAGGCAAAAACAGAAGAAAAAGAGGAATGCTGGGTGCCTGAACTTCGGTATGATTCCATGTGCTCTGCTGAATCTCATTCTGTGGAAAGCAAACAGGTATTTCTTCATTTCAGAAAAATAATGATGTTCAATTTTGCTTTGAATCTCTTGCATGCAACCTTCCATTCACAATAGGGCTGAATGCCGTCAAGACCAAGCCCTATTTGCTCTGTTCATTCCATCTTGACAGATAGAACAGGACACAACCTATACCGTATCTCTGAGGTTGGGAATGGGGTGTGTGTGGAAAAAGCACAAAGGGGGTTCTCTTCTGTAGGGGACAGCCTGCTTTCAGGAAACAGTCAACCTGTCACCCAGCAGGAGATTCACAACCACAGTGATATAGCAGCCACAGTGAACACAGGTTGCCAAGCCCGGTGGTTTGTATTGGTTCAAAGACATTCCGTAATTTGATTATGCATATGATTAATTCAAAAGTAGCACCCAAAAATGTTCATTCAGTTCAGCCGTATGAAAAAATAATAGTAAAGCAACATACACAAGTACTTCAACCACATTTTTGTTGGCTTCTATACCACAAAGTGGATTTTGCTAACAATATTTTACATGTTTACATTCATATACTTTACAGAGCTTTGTGACCACTCCTGGAGCTGTAGTCCAACAACAAATTATATTGCCTTTACAATACAACATCTTTGTGAAAAATAATTTACTTTCAATTAAGATACTGGGATTTCTGAAAAGCCTATATTTTGTACAAAAGCATTTAAAAAAAAAGTCTTACTGTATACCTTGGGTTACAAACCATACATATATATATATATATATATACATTTCACAAGAAACAAGGAAGCACAGCTAATTCTTTATTATAGCATATGCTCCTAGCAGTGTTACACAGGATGCTACCAAATGCGTGACAAAGCCAGTATCTTTTTAAAACATGAAAGGCTTCATTTAAAATGGGTCACAACCATAGCTGAAGATGATGTTCAGGATAACTAGCAGATCCTCAAATATATCTGCCTTTGTTCTGCCTGAAATATTTACTTTTAAGCAATGCTGTGGAAACAGACCTGCATTTTAAAAGATCCATCTAGCTGATGCATCTATGGATAGTAAAAAAAAAAAATCATCTCCAACTGAAATAAGCTATTTACAGTATAAGGCATTTCTACAGACTGAATTAAAAAAGGAAGGTAAAAATTAAAAGGAAGGAAAGGCAAAGTGGGAGAAAACTGTTGACATGTAAAACATTCTGTAATTTGCTTTCCTTTTTTAAAAAAGTATTGTGTTCAATCTAAGTTAATGCGAAGGTGAGAGGAATTATTATTTAACCATGAAGAGATGAAAGGGTTAACTGTAAAATGCACGTCAAGATTTTAATAAGGATTAATAATAAAAAGCCTCAGCCTGCCGCTTTCACTAGATTTTGTAGTGGTGGCTTTTCCCTTGCTTAGGGCAATCCATCTGTTAATTTTGACTTGCAATGCAGTTAAGCTCTTCCTTCTTATTCTCTCTCTCCCGCCTCTGCACACCCATAACCAAATAGACTAGAATAGCTATGAGGAGGCTGGCACATGTCTTACAGAAATAGAACAATTCTTTTCAGAATCTCTTAGGCGAAGATCAGTTGTGCTGTCATGGTGTGGGATCTCTTCCCTGTTGCACACGGAAGCAATCTGGTGTATGTACAATGGAGAAGTTGGTACAATGAAACCCTTGGCAATACAGTTATTTATACCTATTTTATGTGCATGTGTAAAATCTATGCATATTTTAATGCACTGATTTTTGAGCTCTAACACTGAATGGGTGAAATGAAAGGGGGGGAAAAGCAGTTGATCTTGGCTGTGACAGAGATTAGTAAATATTCATTGTTAACAACTGATCTGCACTCTGACCAATGCCAAAATTCTCACTGGGCCAAACTAGCCTTGTTTTCAATAAAAGCAGTGAAGTACCCTCTCCCATGAGCCCTGTTAGACTGACGCTGCAGTTGGAACTGTCATCTTCACACAAAAGCAAAGGGGCTGGGCTTTACAAATGCAAAGCCTAATTGGGAGATCTCCATGTCTGTACCCTTGACATTTATTTAAACCTCATCAAAAAAATAGGAAATAACCAAACTAATTAGCAGACTGGCATACAAACTATTATTTGTTGGGGTAGAAAGCATATTCATATTCAGCTCTAGAAAACGACAATATTACTAATGACAATGTCAAAAACAGCATCAATACAATCTTCCAGCAGGAGGATGAGTTTGATTTTTATGCACTGTTTCATAAGGGCAACATACTGGCCCTAAATTACTAATATCTTTTTTTAATTTGAACAAATATTAAGGGAGAAATGCTGTGCCTTAAAATCCAATTGAAGAGCCAGGACTACATTGAAAAATGTATGTACCTGTCTAGAATCTACATAGGTAAATTTTTGCAGTAGAACTATTAAAGTGTGGCTGAATAGAATTTAATATTAGCATAAGTGAACACAAATATATTAATTAGTAATTGATATATGCAATAGAATACGCAGACCATTTAACTAGCTACTGGAGATTTCCAGACTTCATTTTTCAATACAAAATCCCTATCAAGGAATTCAAGCTCACCAATGTTATTTGAGATCTATTAGCACAGCTCATTACTTTAGCAATACAATCTACTGATCATTAGCCAGTCATTAAAATCTGAGTAGTTTTTATATAGGATCTAGCATATTTTTATATATATATATATATATATATATATATATATATATATATATATATGTGTGTGTGTGTGTGTGTGTGTGTGTGTGTGTGTGTGTGTGTGTGTGTGTGTGTGTGTGTGTGTGTGTGTGTGTGTGTGTGTGTGTGTGTGTGTTTTCTGAGGTTTCCGCGGGTGTTTGTATGTAGGTCTTTGGTTATTCGGGTTTTCTCCCGCGTAAAATTGGAAGTGTCTTGGCGACATTTCGACGAAGTCCCATTCGTCATCTTCAGGCTGGTGTTTTCAGCTTCGTGAGCACGAAGCTGAAAACACCAGCTTGAAGATGACGAATGGGACTTCGTCAAAACGTCGCCAAGACACTTCCAATTTTACGTGGGAGAAAACCCGAATAACCAAAGACCTACATATACATACATACATACATACATACATACATACATACATACATATTGCTCACAACCCACCCATCTCAGTCCACCTTATTCTGGAAGCATTTTGCTCTCAGTATTAATGTAGTATGCACTGGTTCCAGGAAGCTATAATTGTTCTACATGTCACTGAACCTAATCCCATGCTCTGATGATGCTAGATATACACATGAAAATCTTACAGGAGTTTTGCAAATATTATAAAGCTCTAAAAGATATATATTTTGGCAGTCTATTCCAAAATTCATCAACTATCAAAATCAAAGGGTCAAGTTTTTCATGTCCATGTTCATCACTCAAAGTGAAGGATACTCTTTTTCAACACATATTACACTAAAATATGTTTTGTCAACATTTATATGTAAATGCAGTATTTACCAAATTTTAGAAATTCATGGTAATGTTGCATAGGAATTACCCTTAATCTACATACCTTCTGCAAATGATTTAAGAATCTAAATGAGTCTTGGAGACGAGCCTTCCACATCCTAGGCAAATACAATTCTAGCCTTTACTAAGGAAACACTTCTTTAAAAGCACACAGTATTTAGGTAATTACATTTTCATTGCAGTTTCTTATATTTATTTATTTGCATTTACATGCTGCCCAACTCTGAAAGCCAACTCCATTACTAAACAATTAATGATTCACCTTTATTCATAAGATAAAGTGTCAGCTTGGATATATTTGTGGAAGACAGAGTACTAATTAATTGTGTGTGTGTGTGTGTGTGTGTGTGTGTGTGTGTGTGTGTGTGTAGCAACCTTTTGTGGACCAATGGGCACCTTTGCGATTTTGAGAACATTTCTCAATGGCTACAAAAGAGTACTTTATTTATTTTTAAATGCATTAACAAAAGAAAACAGGTGAGAGAGTTTCCAACTATGCTTTATAACATCTCTGTTACTTTTACCTACTTACTGAGCTTGCAGACAAATTTTAAAACTAACTCTTCATTGTTTTTATTTTCTAGACCTGTCTTTTGACTCATGTGAACCCAGATACATTCTTGTAAATAAAAATAATGCTAAAACATGCTTTGCATTGGAGAAAACCAGCTTTCCATTGTATGTTTTAAAAGCAGGGGTCAGGGAACAAGGATCAATAGAGGGTTCATAATGCTTATTACTGCTGTGCATTCCCCATCTTGATTAACAAATACCTTGTGTTTGTTAATAACATCCAAAGGGAGAACATTTTTAATTACCTGTGCAAGTCGCCTTTTTTCTGTGTTCTCTCTTGGAGAATTAGGAACGGTACAGAATGGAGCGTATTGTGCAAAACCTGAGCTACAAATTCCATAGCCATCTTCTCTTTCCTACAGAGAAAATTAAGACTGAAAATTTTTTGTGACTACACATTTTTATATCTAGTTAAACACATACACACCATTAAAAAAAATTGCCACCTGAAAGATTTAAATGCTGGAGTAAGAACTATGATATAATTTTTAAATATGATGAAGCTATCAAGTAAAACAAAATTCCTTTCATATATTTGAGCCTTGACATCTGAGGAGAAAGCCCAAACTACTTGATTTAAAAATGAATACTGAACATACAATACACTGAATATATGGAGTCTTGATACGATGCCTCCCACACTTCTAAATGATACTCTTGGAAGGTTTAGGGTGCTAAAATAATGCTGCCATTTACTGAACCAAGGAAACCTAAACAGACAACTATTCCTGCTGAATTATATTTTTCTGGTAAAAGTCACTTGCCTTAAATTCTCAGCTAGAAGCAAAGGCTTCAATTGTGACATCAAAGTAATCAGCTTTATGAAAACATACATCCTGTTATAGATCTTTGAAGACTTCAGTTTTTTTCATGATAAATATGCAAACAATAAAGAGATTATTCAAGTAGATGCACAGAATGACAGAGAGTTGCCAGAGGGCTCGTTATAAAAAATGCATTGTTGAACAAAGGGCTAAGCATATTTCAAAAGTCATTAAAAACACAAATCTTGTGGGATTCATAAGGTATATACTTCAAACTGAAGCAAGAAACAAGGTAAGAAAGTACAAATTTTGCCACATACCTTGTGTTTCAACTTACTCTTCACCTCTTTTATTCCCTGTTTTGCATGATTTTTTGCCTGGGGGAAAGAAGAGGAAGGGAAAAAAAAACTAACTGAATTTGCAAAATAATGGTTTGATACTGCCCTAGATGAAATAACATAGAATTTAAAATTAAAACTTTCACATTGTGTGGTATAGCAAAAAGAGATTGTTTTGTTAATTTCATATAGGATTGCTAACAAGGTTTGCATTAGGTGTGCAGTAAGGTGTGCATTAATTGCTAATAAGATGTGCATTAAGAAATGGATTGTGGCATAGGCTTAATTGTCTTACCAAAACACACTAGTTAAATTGGTATTTCCTTAATGTAGCATTCTTATGAAATGGTGTTATCGGTAGAAATAAACTCTTAGCTTGGCCACAAGTTGAATAGGAAAAAAAGCTCAGGCAGTAATATTCCAGTCTAGCTCTTTTTATATGCAGAGCCATGTCAAAGTGTTGTGTTTTTCATAGTTCCTATTATTAGATTTATACTAAAGTTTCATGCCACCTCTTCACATCAGCCTGAATAAAAATGACAATTATAGTTTTCTTTTTAAAACAGGTGAAATAATCATTCTAGAAGCAAAATAATTATAAAGAAGTGTGGTTTTTCTTTCAGAGGCAATTCTAACTTTAAAGAGGAACAAATAGTATTTCAATTCACTTTATCATTCAATTTCAAATTCTTGCAACTTATTCTTCAAACAACGATAATAGGTGGCTATTTTTCTATTCAAACTGAAAGCCAAATTATAGATAATGAAGCTGTTGTTGCTGTTTCCAACATGTCCGTTACTTAGAAGATTATGAAGTGTTCTTTATATTTGTGAACTACTCTCCTTAGGACTTAATCTAAATAGAAAATGCACCTAAATACAAATCTAACTTAGGATGAACTATACAGGAAAAACAACCAGCAGCCTATGACTCACACATGAATTTTAGCCCCATTGTATTGTTCTCACCAAGCCCTTGCAACTCCCCAAATTCTCCCAAACTGTGCAATGCTAAGTTCTGTTTTCTCTGCCAATTCATATTCCTTGTAGTATGTAAAAGCAAAAAAAAAAAAGGGGTGGGAGGGAGGGGCAGGGGAATAGATTAAAAGACTACCTTATGTGAGCCATATTTGATGTTTTAAAAACATTTGCCTGCACTGCAGATAATTATATCCTCTAATTCAGGGGGTCCCTGAATTTCGCACCCAAGGGGTGCGAAAACTTGGATTTTCGAAATTATAGTGTATATGCATAATTTGTTGCCATTGTTTCAAACTTTTGTAAGGGGTGCAAGAATATATCAGAAGCGTTTTAGGGGTGCGGGGTAGAGAAAAGGTTGGGAGCCACTGCTCTAACCGCACACTCAGCTATAAATGGGTGTCTCTAAACTTCATTGTTTTCAGCAAACTAACTTAAATTTCAACAGTATAGTGTACACAGATTGAATGTATCCCAATAAAAAGAATGAAGTTTTCTCCAGCAAGTGCATATTAAATATACAGATGTTGCTTGACTTCTGTGAGAAGTAAATGTAGATGTATGTATGTATGGTATGTATTTATGTTTAGTTGGTGTATATACAAGGCAATCTTCACAACTAATTGTCTAATGAGAATATTATGATAATCACCAAACTTGATTTTCCACTGGTATCTGGACAGTATGTCTTTGAAGCCATTGTTTTAACTATTCACATTTCTTGGTGACAGGACACCAAAATGGAAACTGAAAACTAAGGTGTACCTTATTAAATTATCACCAGTGAAATGCCCGGAAGATGCTACCAATGAGACAATACATAGGCAATTTTTCAAGGATTCTCTTAAAAAATTAAAGTCAGCAGTGAATACAGGAATAGATTCATCATTACAAGATTATAATGACCAAATAGAAACCCAGTGGTGAAAAAAGAGAGCAATTTTTTTACCATTCCATTAAAGAACTGTATATAAGTTATAAATGAACACATGAATTCACAGTACTTTGAATGTATTTACCTGAAATATGGCCTCAGTGTGAATTTGAATGATGTAAATTTAAAAATTTTCTTTTGAAAATGAAAGTAAGGAATCGATTCATTTATTTATGATTGAAGCTCAAAGGACCAGGAAGCGATTTTCAGACATCTCCCTGGTTTTGGTTCTCAGTGTTCCTTCACCCACAGCATCTTCCCAACACTAAGATAATTTTCATATATTAAGGAAACCGGTTGTAGTGTGATGTACTGATTAAAATGATACCATCAGGGAGACTAAGGTTTAAATTCACCAATTAGATAGCTCTTCAGTGTTAAGTATCCAGATTATATCCATCTGGAACAACCTCAGGGATGAAGTTGGATATTACTACAGTATTCACAAGAGAAACTCACTGTATAATGTTTAGGTTCACCATACTCTGATTTAAGTTCAGAATAGTGTGGTAAATAGTGTAAACCTTAGAAGTGTTATTAAATCAAATTGCTGGTACCCATCTTTAGGCAATGTTCACAAGAAATCTTAGTTGTTTGTTAATGTTCACAAATCCCTCATTCAACAAATACTCTCATTTTGTGTGGTCCATTATATTATTAGTCATTGCTCTGCAATATGTTGACTCATACCTGGCCAATCCTTTGAAGCCATTATTGGCATAATAAAATTATTAATTTTAAAATGTTTCTTGCAAATCATGAACTCTGTACTGGATCATTTAACTGCGAATCAAATTCCCTTTCATCAAACTCAAATCAATATTCCAAACTTTGGTCTGACAAAAGCTAAGCCTTGGCAAAGTATGGTAATTTCAATTTATCAAAATACTCAAATCTATAATGATCCTTCCTTCCGAGAAACATTTATTCATCAAAGCGTAGAAAAGGAGTATTTGAAAGAGAAAAAACAAAGTCAATCACAAGTGAATTAGCCTAGGTTTCAACAAACAGTACAAAATAAAGGTAATTCTGTTCTGATGTCTTCTTGCTTGTCAGTTAAATCCAGCTTTAGTGTAGCAACATAATCTTCCTATGGAACCAAATATGTTCGTGATTTAATGAGAGGTCCATTTGGTCGTAACTTTCATAGGCCTATTATCTGATCCACTCCTGACTGACCCTCAATTTTACAAACATAAATTCAAAAATTAAGTTATTTGGTAAACCATAAGATAAAGAGATATGAGATCTTAGAATTATTGAGAATAATAATATCCTGATAGGCTTCTGCATTATTTTGTTCACTGCTATTAACAACTCACTATTAGTTCCCAAGAGGTGGGTGAACTCTGTCACTCCCAATATGCAGGGCTTTTTTTCTTATAGAATGCCCAGAACGGAGTTCCGGCACTTTTTTTGGATGGAACCTTGTAGGGTAGGCAAGGCGGGTTGTATGATGTGTGTGAGTTCCGGCACCTTTTTTTTTTTTTTTTTTACAAAAAAAGCACTGCCAATATGTATATAAGAAAGATGATAGGCACAATCCTGTCAGCAAGTAGTCAATCAGCCTTTTGCCAATAATTGGCAATTGTTATGCTAGATTTCTCTACTATAAACTTTTAGACTGAATAAACCTGAAAAACATCTTGCCCCCAGAATAGGCAGGTTTTAGATCAAGATATTTCAGTATGGATCAATGTGCAGTTCTACACCATTTAGCATCCTTATATTACTTTGATTGAGATTCTGTTCCCACTGGAGATTTTAGAAGAAATTAGTCACAACACCCATTGACTACTACTTTCCAGGCTGATAATTTTGTTATATTAAAATACAATTACAGAAATTAGTGGCAGTTACAATGACCCATCCGCATTATCCCTACTTTTTAAAGGAGATAAACAAGGATGTATTCTTGTACATTTAATTTCTATATTAATGATACCATTGTGTCCCTTTCTAAGCTGGAACTTTATTCTACAACTTTAGCTATTTGAGCTGTCTCTATTTCTTTATGTAGATAATGTAGTTATTTTATCTGTAAGTTAAGTGGGCCTAGGCAGTTGCCAAGTTCTTTTACTTATCTACTGCTCTAGGGAATTTCTTGAAATTATTTAATTATTTTTAATTTAATTATTTAAAAGTAAATAAAACTAGTTTAGATAAATAAAACTATTTAGAAATTTTACACTTCTTTAGAAAGTAGTTTAAAGTTCCTGATCAGATGGAGAATTTAAAAAAGACCAGTTAACCAGATAAAGGACTTCAACTATCTAGGTATCCATTTTCAACCTTCCGCCTGCTGCAATAAACAACTGAGCTCTATATAAGAGCCCAAATAGCATCCAATGTGATCCTTAAAATCTGTGAGCCATCAAAGCAATAATCACATCCCTGAAGCAATTAAATTAAATAGATCCAAGGGGCTTGGTACCCAGCTGTGATGCCCAGCTGTGGATTTGTTAAGGATGCTTTGACTTTGGAAGCTATCCAGTTTAATTTTTAATTTAATTTATTTTTTTAGGAGCTAAATTATGGGTTCTTGCTCAACCTCAAATGCCCTAACTAGGTTAGTTTGGCTGCGACTCTCCTGAGACCCACCTAAAATTTCAGTATCTTAATTTTACTTGAAACAATTTTTTAGGAAAGCAACCTTCACCTTACTCTACTAAGTAAATTTATCTGATCCCTGACAAAGTTAACTGACTTTAACTTGGCTAATTGTGTTATTGTACTGTGATTTTTTTTTACAGTTTTATTTGTAGGAAGCTCAAGTATAAACACTTACCAAATAAAAATACTACTACTATTCTATTACTATTACTACTGCAACAACTCCTAGGCAGAAGAGGGGAGAATCTTAGTACAAAAACTAGAGAACTGAAGGAGGTTCACCTCTAGATTCAGTCACTGTTTGGATGGTTCTGCAAACAAGTACTGTATATGACATAATGAGTAGATTGACATGACTCTCACTAATCTTAATGTGTTTGATTTTGCTTTCAGTGACTTGAAGTCTCCACTGAGGATTGTAAATCATGGTTATAACTTCATGTTATGCATAACTAGGCCGCTATAAATTGTTCAAATTATGGTTAAAGCAAACAACAGTTTAGTATAACGTAGAGTTAGAGCAAGTATTTTGCAGCACCTTGAAAGAAAGAATACAGATAGTCCTCAACTTACAACCATACATTTAGTGACCATTCGAAGTTACAATGGCACTGAAAAAAGTGACTCATGACCATTTTTCACACTTATGACCACTGCTGTATCCTCATGGTCACGTGATCAAAATTTGGACACTTGGTAACTGGCCTATATTTATGACGGTTGCAGTGTGCCAGGGGTCACCTTTTGTGACCTTCTGACAAGCAAAGTCAACAGGAGAAGCCAGATTCACTAAACAACCTTGTTTTTACCAACTTAACAACAGCAGTGATTCACTTAACAACTGTGACAAGAAAGGTTGTAAAATGGGGGCAAAACTCACTTAACAACTATCTTGCTTAGCAATGGAAATATAGGAAATGTGGTTGTAAATCCAGGACTACCTGAACACACAGATCTGCAAAAATGAAACAAGAAAAGAAACATCTCTTACATATTGGTATGCTGTTTTCACAGCTGGAGTAGCTTTGTTCACTGCTGTGTTGATCAAGGCTCCTCCTTTCTGAAATCCAATATACATATACATTCATAAACACGGAGGTTCTGATGTATGCAGAACATAGTTTGATTCTCAGTTTAAATAACAACTTTAGTTTTTAAAGGAAAATCCACACTTCTGGTTAACTTAAATTACAACCCTTAGCATGACCCCGAATGTGCCACTTTGAAGATTTCTACAGCTGCCTTTTGTCTAGCTTTGTCTACTACCACCCAGAGTTTACAATACATCATTTCTATGGCTGACACACTTATCAGTGTACTGTAATGTACTTGTGTAGGGCACAATCCACAAGGAAATTGTCTTTCATAATATTCCGATTATATAAATAGGTGTTTTGCATGAGAGATTTGCACTGATCACTGCATGTATACACTTGTATATATTGCACAAATTCTGAGCAATTTTTCCGCACATTTCTAAATAAGATTACATTCATATGATGACACTTTTTGCATTGCAAGATATATTCCAGTCTCCTGACATGTTGTCATACCTTCACAGTATGCATCCACTGATGGTATGTTCTTAAATTTCCTAAAAATGTAAATTTAAGGGAAACAAAAGTTAGAACCATTTTTGCTAGACTTTTATGCATAATCTTCATTGTACATTAAATTCATGTTCATAATAAACATAAGAGTTCTACAGTTCTTATCTTCACAGAACATCAGACTACATTATTTTCTCTGACAAAATCTATGGCTGATATGACAGAACTTTAAAAACATGGTAAATTTAGAATTATTTAGGGATTGGAAAAATACACATATGCACTGTATCAGGGTATAGCATAATACTACACTTTCTACAGTCTTAACAGTTTAACAAAACTTTGCAAGGGGGCAGAAGAGCAAATCAATGTGTGTTCAATAGTATTACTCTAATAAACTATTCATAATGGTCAGGTGAAATTGGATTTCATAAAAAAATAGCAGTTTTTTTATTTTTCAGTGCAAATAAATTTAAAATTTAGCAGGACAAGTAAATGCGGGTTTAGTTTTAAAACCATTATTAATTTTAATATAGCATGAGGAATGATAGTTGCTATAAATTCCTAGCCAATGGCTTCTCATAGAAGATGTGGGTTTTATAACAGTTTCTAAAGCCTCTTAAACTCAGCAATACAATGAGGCATCTTGTAGTGAAGTATTTTGATTTGCTCATATAACACCACTTACACTGAAAGCTAATCTGGGTGCTGCAATTCAAAGTGCTAGTACTTACCTTTAAAGTCTTTCATGTCTCAAGACTTTGGTATCTGAACAGGCAACTCTATCTGCTTTCCAATAAGACCGGGTAGAGGGGCTCTCTCTGCAGGGATTAGCATCTTCAGGGATTATACAATTGACTGTTCTCAGTGACTACCCACTTCTATGGAACAGATTTCCTCTGGAAATCTAAAAAGCCCCTTCCTGATTGGTTTTTAAGAAAGCCATTTAAAAGTTGGCTATTCTAGCAGGTTCTGGAGGTTGAAACATTTTACTGTTCCTTCTGGTTTTGGAGGAATTGTCTAATGAAATTTATATTGCTGGTGTTTGTAAAAGTACTCTAATCCTAACATTGCTTCTCCAAAAGAGAATAGCATTATGGGTATGTGTATGTATGGTGTGTATTCAAATCAATCTTGACAAGCTCCTGCAGGTTTTTTTTTTCCTAAGGTTGAAAATGATTAGCCCAACTTCCAGCTGACTTTGTAACTAAAGTGAGGTTAGTACTCGTAGTCTCTGTTTCTGGCCTGGTGCCTTAATTATTGTATAAAACAATTATTGTATATACAATTACTAAAGCATTTTCATTTAAAACTGCAGATACTTGCATAAAAGCTGAACATGTAATTTTGAGAAAAGGAAGATGAACAAGTAAGTCTGAAGAATCTTTCTGCTTCTGTCATTTTTAATTAACCATTATATTCGGTTCTATCAATTTGCCATACAAATGTTTATGATATCTTATGAAGCTGAAGTTAGAAACCTTCATAGCAATACATATCGAACACACAGAACTACAATTAAAGAGACATAAATTTAAAAGAACACTTAATTCAATAAGGGGATTATAAATCAAGCCTCAATTGTGCTTTTTGGTATTAAGAGAGTTGGTGTTAATTAATAGGAACAATTTCACATCAGACATATAGGTAAAACGATTACAATCATAGACTAATTTCCACTCATCCATAAGAATAATGAGTGTTTATTTTATTCATTATTATTTTTTTCATTCTAACTACTCAAGTATCACATTAGTTGCTTTAACTTCTATGGCATATACGATATGTTGAAAACTGCAATTATTTGAAATAAAAATACAAACAACTGTTTAGTAAAATGTCAGTAAGAGCATATATAATACGTATTATATATATATATTTTCTCATCTCCTATACAAAAACATCTAAAAAGGTCAATTAAGAAATCTTTTTTATTTTGGATTTTTAGCAACAGGGAATCTGAATAGTATTTCTATTTCAGTTATTTAATCAAAAACTCTATCCATGGTCAGCACAATGCTAAAAACCAATGTAAAATGTATTGTCATTTTCCACTATTTCAATTAATGCAGGACAAATGAAAGAACAGATAGGTTGTGATTAGTGTAAGTTTGAATAATGTAATATTTGATTTAATGAGAGAATTGTAAACTGATACCAGGTCGTGTTTAATATGACCCAAAATTCAGTTAATCCAAGGCTAGTTCAAGCATAATTCAATCTATTACATATGCAGTTGCGTTGGGATTTTAGATGCTACTAATCTTCATGTGTGCAAAATGGAGAAAAGGAAGGTTCTGTCAGAAGAAAAGAGGGCAAGTTTAAAAAAGAGGGTTGTTATTACACTAGAATGAAAATTTGATGTAATTAAATTACAGTATATGAATGCAGTCATAGCGACATTAAAATTAGGACGAGATGTTGGTATGCTTGAATCTCTGGTAGAATTTTTTTAAAATTTTGCTTTTTTTTAACTACTCTGTGACTTTGTTAACCATAAATTTAAATTACAAGTATATTCTTTTTATCTTTTATTGTAATATTTCATATATAAAATATATAAATTATTTCACTGCCTATTTCCTTTGAGCTGGAACCAATTACCATATTTTCTACAGAAATATCACTTCAAATAGTGCAAATCTGAATAATGTCACCATTTCATGGGATTCATTAGCTCCCCTAATCAAAACCTACCTTTGGTCAAGAAGTACAAAAGTATATATCTACCTCCACTTCCCGATGAGATTTCTTCTTCAAAAATATCGGAGAATCCTTTTCCTGCATTTAGCTTTGCAAGTCGACCTTCAATAAACTGCAATAAAATGTGTATCTAAGTTGTAATAACTTTGTTAAGAAAACTGTATAAAATGTAATTTTATTAGTTGTACTATAAAGTACTAGAAATTTAGAGAGGTCACACCTACTTCCATTTCATTACATAATCACTTGCCCATCCACCCTTCACTATTTCTTTTATTCTTCATAGCTGTTTAAAGCTGAATTTGGGAAAGGGGAAGGATGATTTGAAACGTAATCAAATCAATACTTGTGGTAGTTTTTGAACCAGAATTCACAAAATAAGTTGGGGGGGATCACAATCCCCATGACAATATAGCAGAATGATTCCGTAGCAAAATATTTTTGACATTAATTGCATCTTAATTAATCTCACATTGGAATATAACATTTATTATCTTCATATTTTAAAGACATGATTCGCAAAGAAATTGTTTTTTTTCCTCCAAACTGGAATCTAATTTGCTTTACCTCCTATATGTGTATTCATTTTAAAATGTGGGACACATTTTAAAATATTAAAGTATGTTAAGAAAAAAATGACCACCTACAGGATATATATATGAGCAGTATGGTAATCTTAAACAAGGAAAAAGCAACTATATGGTGCCATTTTTGATGTACTTACATTCTAAGCATATTTTGTGAGAGCAAATCACACTAAATAAATTCAAATTTATCAGCTTGAAACCAATGTCTAAAATCTCTATTTTTCCGTTAAACCACTGAATTATTCTAAATTCACTGTTTGAATCTCTCCAAATGGCATACAATTCTAGCGGTTTAATATTGGTTAGAAAGAAAAGGACTTTTTTTAAACAACTCTTGGCTTTCATACTATGCTTATATACCAATTTATACAAGCTCTCTTAAAGCTTAGATACAAGCAGTGTCTAATTATAACAACAAATTGTGCTTGAAACTTCCTTAAGTGTTAACAAACTACCATCAATGAAAGAATATCAAATTAAAATTACTCGGAAAGAAATAAAAAATAACTTCTTTCACCCACACTGTGCTTTTTACAAAGCAAAAACTTTATCTCCTTATTAGTTATAAGAATTCCACACATGTATGGAATGCAAAAGTGGAAGAAATGCACAAATACCATTTTATACTGTACAAAACATGCAAAGAAATTAATGTTTGTCATTTGTACCAATCATATTCTACAGAAATTAATTTTCCATTCAAATGCTTTTTTAGGAAAATCTCTAATTACACTTCATAAATTCTGTACAATTCACTGATTGGAAATTTATAGTAGTAGATGCCAGATTTCTTGGCCTGATAGAGATATTTAGAACTTTGTGAGCATAAAGGGCTTGTACAATGGGTACAATAAATCCCAAAACAGAAGGAACTGGGGAGTTCGTTTGTTTTTTAATCTCCTCTATACTCTCCAAAGTTCATTAGTCAGAACACGAGCTTCTTCTACACATAGTGCTGGATTACAGTCACCCACCTTTTATAGAGTTTTATTTTTATAAAATGTTTATATGAAGTCTTATCTATTTATATGTACTAAAAAAGTAAATATTTACTAAATGATGAAGGGTCCGGAAATTATTTTTGATCCATCCCATTTGCTGAGAGGACTAGAACAGTGGTGGCAAACCTATGGTACGGGTGCCAGAGGTGGCACTCAGAGTCCTCTCTGTGGGCACGCGTGCTGTCGACCCAGTCCTAGGCCTTCAGCTGGGTTTTATAAAACCTTTTTGCTTTAGACCTCCGCCGCCATGTACAAAAAAAAAGGTTCAATCAATCAGTCAATTTCAACTTCTCGCAGGAAAAAAAAAGATCTTGCAAAGTTGGAATTGGTTGATTGAACTTTTTAGTCCCACCTAGTCTACTGTTACCACCGCAGCCACACCCACCCAATGGGCCACACCCACCTGGCACCCGACGATGCATAAGTGGGTTTTGGGTTGCAGTTTGGGCACTCGGTCTCTAAAAGGTTCGGCATCACTGGACTAGAATAAAAGCTCTACATGCATGTCTTTCCTCTCACAATAAAATTCTTTTTTATTCATCACTATCAAATTAAAACCAATGGTTAATAATTTTAAACAATGATTGCAATCAACAGAAAGTAGCATTTATCATAGTTTGCCAATTTAAATTTCACCAAAAAAGGTAGTGTCAAAAGAAATAAAAGGATGTAAGAAAATGCAAGTTTCTAATTCTCCATCCACTCACATCTCTGAGTTCTAGAGAATTTTGAATATATACATAATCTGAAAAGAATCATGAAAACTTGTTAAAACTGCCAGGTTTAAATTATTGGCAATCAAAATTTCAGTATAATTCTCAATGAAATAACAATGTATTGTAAAAACTCTCAATTTGCATTAAATTTTCATAAACCTTAAAAAAAAACTCAAAACTTTTTCAACCCTCCAAAATACTGACATTTTTAGGATTAATACTTCTTTGCCAAGATTAGGTAGCCAAAATATGAGATAAACAAAGAAATTATTTGACTGATTGCATTTTCCAACATGAATACCAAATCACTGTTAACTGAAATGTTACACAGGAGCCAATAAAAATTAATTATTTGGCTGACTGTCATATGCTATCACAGATTATCCAAACAGACCTGTCAGTGACAATCTGATGCTTGTCAATGGATAGACTGATGACATGAAACAAACTGTTCCATGAATACATTTTTAAGAGGACTAGATAAAGGCAGACTCAGCAGTAGCAGTGAAGGACATGCTATCACTGATTATTTCCTCTTCTTCTTAGCTAACATTCTTCTCCCTTCACCCATCCCTCAGCCTTAACCTGGCCTTTTTCCAAATGGATTGGTTCATGGTCAGACCACAGTAAGGGATCACTGGATTATTTCACAGCAAGAATGAGATAAAGCACCTTTAACTACCACTGTGCAGAAAACATTCTTTGAGCCACAAAGCATTATCTATCCAGGGAGAGTTAAGAAATCATTCTTTGCTCTCATACCAAGCACATGATTTATGAGCGTAAGATAACAGAGTGTTAAGCATGAAGTGAAAGGAGATATTTGTTTTGGGTCTAATCTTACACTCACAAAATGTTAATACAAATTGTGAGTTCACAAAAAATTAATAGCTGCATCGTTAATTGTGTTTGGTGGATTTGTCGGATTTCGCTAATCAAAATGACAAACTAAATGAACAATAAAATCTTGCCCCATCCCTCTATTATTTTCCTCACCTTATACAACTCTGTTTAAACATTATACCTATTTATTGGGAGTTGTATACCAAATATGTCCTATTAGCAATTCAGAGCACTACCTAGAGAATAAAAGAGTTATTAATAATAAAATAAATTTATGTGTCAAATCAAGTCATATTTTAGTTTTGACCAGAATGGAGCTGCTTTGGGGATTTTATCTTGAACCATTCAGTAGCACAGGGGCTTATAAAAATTGCATAGAGGTGCAAAAACATGGTCAATGTTCTGCTTTTAACAGTATATACCGGGTAAGGATTTCATCCATTTTTCATATACACATCATGTTTTCTATTTCAAATCAAATAAAGCAGTTTTCTCTTTCAATAAAAAAGGCGTATTCTGTTCTCAGACTTAGACACACAAGTATTATACCATCAACAATTTCAGTAACACACATTTCCCAAAGTTTAAATGGTCAACCTTTTTCTTAGGTTTCTAAATTATATATTCCTTATTAATGGAATATAAGTGAAAGAGATTGATCAGCTTAGTTCCATACTTACCCAAAATAGCTATTATCAGTATATACATTCAGGGCTTTAGAGAAATGATATATGGCAAGTCATTCAAAAATGGCTGAAACTAGTGAAATAGGTATTTGTATACAATACTCCATACACAATTCTATTTGAGTCCTTTTATATTCAACTAAATGATAACAGGTCTAAGTGGACATCACTGATGCTGTGTGTATGTTGAAAAGGTTAGAAATCTATTATGTAATATATAGTGTGTACTTTTTACACACTGTTTTTGCTTCCCATTTGTATGATTACTAAGATTTCACTTTCCAAAACAAGTGTTTCAAAATTACAATAATGCAAATGTCTGCCCTGCTGCTGTTTCACATATACTATCCATCCATCTGTCTCTCTCTTTGAACTGTTCACAAGATTTCTTTTCTGTTTAAAAAACAGTACTTGCCACTGAACCTAAAGCAACACTTTAAATTCAAATCTCTTATGACTCAAGTAACCTTGAAAAGTGCCTAATTACAAACAGGTCTTGGATCGGAGGCAGCTGAAGGAATTATATAAAATACTAAAGGGGCATAAAATAGTTTCAAAATGTATTTCTTTCCCTATTCCAGAATAACACTATTTCTATTCTTTCCAATTAGAAACTGCACTTTTCACTTCTGCTGCCATAAATCTCTACATAAACTATTAAATTCCAGGAACAAAAACTTTTTTTAAAATAAAAGTTACCTACCATCCTGTGAATTTCACTTATCTGTTTTGTACTATATCTTCAAAGAGAGCCAGAAGATTAGTTAAACATGGTCCCCCCCACCACCACCTAAGGTTCTGGCTTTTTAAATCAGAGGTAATGTTTTCTATTTTGTGCTGAAATTTGGACTGCAGTGTTTATCCAATGCTTAGAATAAGCTTTTAGGACTGTTTCTATTTGTATCATTTTGTTCTTTCTTCATCCAACAATGGTTTTCAACAGGCCAGCAGAAAAACTAATCTTCTGGCATCAATCAACAGCATGCGGCAGCAAAAACCTGCAATTTAAGTAGCCCTTCTAAATCGTGTTTATATCAAGACAGTCCAAAACTAAGAATTTCTTCCCAATTCCAGACACGCAATTTGAGTTCTAGCTTTTGAGATTCATCAGACAAAACGGTTCTGAAACACTGCACTTTCACCCTTTCCTCTCCTCTGCTACAACTACAAGGAAGAGATAAGAAAGCACCCACTTCTAAAGAACAGACGTTCCTCATTACGTCTGAACTAGAGACAGGTTAGTTTTAAAAAAAATGTTTGAAAATCACCCATGATCATAAGACATGACCTGATTCTGGATTGTCTGAACAAACAGAAATTCTCCTCAATATGATAAAGAGCACTAAAAAAACTTCTAACTTCCCCTTCCATGCAATGGGAAAGAAGAGACATGCATAATTTCAAACACATGACCCTCTGGGCAATTAATGTCAAATTAAGATTTAGCTGTAATATCTGGAATAAAAACTGGAAATATGTCTGAATGGTATGGTCCTACTAAACTGATTTCCATTTTTAAACAAAGTCAAAGTCAACTCTATGAGATAAAATATTGTATTGTATTGTAGTGTAGTGTAGTGTAGTGTAGTGTAGTGTATTGCTCTGAGAGCAATGTGCTCATCCATAAGAAAGCCTCTTAAATAATGCCAAAATAATTATATCATTCATGACTACAAGTATGAGCATCAAGGGGCTGGGAGAAGACTCCTACTTCTGTTCTCCACATATGTTTGCACCATACCCAACTTACACAGCAAATTTCCTAGTCCTGAAGGGAGCAGTTTAAGAAAGGATCTGGAGGCTAGCAAACATGAAAATTGGACTTCTTGTGCTCAGTTTTACTAGTGATAAACAGGATTAAATCTATGTATGTATCCAAAACATTTTCTATAAAAAGAGCTATTCATTGAATAAGGACTTAAAATTATGATTGGTTGAATTTTACCTTTACCCAAACCATTTATTAATACTTTCCCATATACCTGCTACATCACTTCTAGAGGATTGGAAAATCTGCCAAGACAGATTTTGGATGCTCACAGGAGGATAGGGATGATTCCAAATAGAAATACAATTAAATATGCTGGAAGAAACCCAAGACCTTTTAATTGAAGCAGGTTTATTTTTTATTACCTCAAAGAGTTTTCACTAGAAAGAACCTATAATAGAAATGTACAAGAATTTATCTTGGCTATACTCTGGTTTCTCCTCAGATCATAAAAATCCTTCCCTAGTCAAATCAAAATTCAGAAACTGCTATTGATAATGTTGTATCAATTTTTCTATCCCTGAATATTCATATGCTACATGCATTAGAATGGTATTAGATCAAAAATCTCAGAATACCTGTTTAAAAAGTTGGAGATTCACTGCAGTTTCCAGAAAATATTTAGTAAAACTGGAATGATGCTTGATGAAGCTTTCCTCACAGAAAATGATAGGCTCTCCCTAAATTTGAGGGGGAAAAAAAGAAATATACATTTTTATAAACAGTTCTATTTAACATTTCTTTACAATATACTAATTATTTTGCATGTAGCAGTACTTGCAATCAATATTGTTAACCTGGTAAATTTAACTTATTTTTCATATTAAAAATAGATTTCCTATGATGCACAGATAGAATATTACCAAATGCCCAAAATGAATTATTTTGTAAAACCTAAGTTTTTAAAATCATTATCCATCATGCCTAAAATAAAAACAAAGTCAATAATAGCTAATCATGGGCACAAAACAGATTAGAAATAATTAACATCCATTTTAATTATTCAAAAAAATTCCCTGTTACTTTAATTAAAAATTCATCTTTTCTGCAAGTGAAGTATCTTGTTATGATTTGGGGAATATATCAGAAATATGGAAAAACTAAACTAAACTAAACTAAAATAAAAGCACATTTTCACAGCCCTATCTGACCTACTGGGTCTCTACTAAGCCTTTTTTTTCTTGTGATTGTGTAGTAAAATATAGTGTGCCCAATAATTCAGAATGGATTATTCACATCCTTTGATTATGCAAATTAGCTATGGATTTTCCATAAAATCCTCATGTCTGTTTAATTCTCTGCTGGATGCATTCACATTTAGCTAATCTGATTATTCAGAAATGTTGAATATTCCCCAAATATTTTATATAAATAGTATATATAAATAGTACTATACTTTCAAAAGAATCCAGTTATGGTTTATTTATTTTTAAGTCATAAAGTTAAATAAAACTTTGTATCATTCATGGGTTAAAAGTATTTAAATTTGCCAGAAAGAAACCATTCCACAATAAGAATAGAAACAAAACTTACAGAGTTGTTCAGAATGATTTTCTGACACCACAAATATAAAATTATATATTTAAAGCCCCCCCCCCTTTTAAATTACTACCACTCCTATAATAAATTAAATAAAAACAATCAGAATACTCTTGCACTAGTCAACTTGAAACAAGTTTATAACAATCCTGGATTCAGTTTCAATAAGACTAGCATGAGAAAATTTGCACTGACATTTCTCTTAGAATTAAAAGCTGGGTCTTCCTATTTGTGCTTATGTATTAAAAATAATATTCTCTCATTCCCAACTATTAAATGTCAAGAAGGGTAATTCAGAATACTTTAGGGTCTTATGTATCACCTTCTGCAATATATCTGTGTTAATTATGGACGATTAATAACTGATGTATATTGCTAAAATACAAATGATTTGCTGGAATCCTTTATGAAAAGAATTGAATGGAACTTTCTGAAACTGAAACAGAAGCTTCTTTGAATTACTTTGAAACAGGCTAGTTACTAGTGCAGGGGAAGACAACCTGGCTCAGGAATTCAGGGAGTTGAAGTCCACGAGACATAAAAGAGCCAAGGTTGCCTACCCCTGTACTAGTGCATACCTACTACCTCCGCTAAATCCCATTAACCTTCTGTTGTTGGGAACTATATTACTTCAATTTCCCAGAAACTCAAGTAATTCACTGACTCTATGTACAGATCTGTTTGAGAGGAAGAGATTAAAAAGCAGCTGTAACTTAAACATTTAAAAGTAATTCAAAGATGTTACATGTTAGGCACTTTCATAAAGTCCTATGCTTAAAGGACATATGTCTCTTTTCTTGTGTCCCCATAGACATCTCCAAGAAAGAAGCCAAGATTATGTATGAAAAACATTTACATACTACTAACATAATGGCAATTTGTCAAACTGTAACCACCAAATAATTTCTCGTTGCACTTTTCCCAAACACATTGGACTTGTTCCATAGATTGAGTTTTAGTCTATATTTTTATGAAAAAGAAGAAATGCTACTGTAAGGGTCTTCCACACTGTGTCCTTCCTAGTCCCTGATGCGTATTTTCTTAATTCTTGATCCTAGTGCTAAAATGCAAATACCTAAAAGAGGATTATTCCAGGAGTGTCTGTACAAAACTTGCCTAAGGATCAGAAATCTGATTAGGATTAGCTATTTCATAATCAAGTTGACCTTTTATGGTCTATTTGGATTACTGATAACAACAAATCATTTTGATTTGATATGCAGCTTTTGAGATCAAGAACATAAGAGAAAGGGAAAACAATTGAACTACTGAATATCTTACATTGCCAGGGATAGGAATTCTATGGATCACAACTCATCCCTTGCATCTTAACACTCAGATTTTTTGGAATATATGAACCAGCAAAATTGTATGGGCCTTGAAACTGTTATATCATCTTGGGATATTGCTACATTACACCTACACTTAGAAGTAGATTAGGGGATTCATCTCCTTTGGAAAAGGTCCAAATATGTATGTAAACTTGCTGGTGTTTCTGACACATATCATGATCATCTCCTATAAATTAATAGTCTTTTTTAGAAAAATGACCAAAAGGAAATCACCACTAGATTACTTTTCAATGTAATCACATCAAAGATTTAAAGTTTCCCTTTTCAAAGATTTCTTTCCTTTTCCTCTAACATGTCTAACGTCTCAAATATAGAACTAAAAGTCATTTGAAATTACTTGAGCAAGGGAAGTTGCAGAGCTCTTGAAGGCACAGTTTATTTTATCCCCAGTACTGTTAGACAACAATTTGTCTTCTATCTTAATTGGTGGAAACTAACCAAAGAGAGAAGCAACCTAGAACTAAGGAGAAACTGCCTAACAGTTAGAACAATTAACCAGTGGAACAACCTGCCTCCAGAAGCGATGAATGCTCCAACACTGGAAGTTTTTAAGAAGAAACTGGACAGCCATTTGTCCGAAATGGTATAGGGTTTCCTGCCTGAACAGGGGGTTGGACTAGATGACCTCCAAGGTCCCTTCCAACTTCTTCTTCATCATCATCATCATCAATAATAATAATAATCCAAGAAGATAGCCTAAAACATGCAATGGAGGGGGTTCCAGCTGTATTAGCCAAGGCCTGGGAAAATAGATCTTCATGGTTCTTCAGAACACCAAAATTTCCAACATACCCCCAAGTATAGTTTTGATCAAGGTCTATTAGGGATTCTGCACTGAAGAGCTGACTGCCAATATTTTTAATATCAGATTGAGTTTTTTCCCTTTTTGGCCAGACAATATATCTGTCCTCTTGATAACAGTTATTACAGAGTTCTGTACATCCCCATCTCCTTTTCATGAGCTAGTGGGCACAGCAGGACACATTCCTTTTAAGCTCCATCCACATTTTAAACTAGCTGCTTAATATAATTGTAAATAACTCTTGACACACGAGCTCAGAATAAATCATTATCCTTAGCATAAAATAACCTAATGCCTATAAGTATACTAAAAGCAAAAGCAAAGCTGGGCTCAGTAGACATCTTTGCTTTAAAAAGATAACAGTATGTACCATGTTTTTTTCATTCATAATTTGAACATGGTTTATAATAAATTATTTTATTAATTATTTTACTTAGGAGGTTTGGTCTTTGACTAACATAGCCAAATTGTTGCAACTAGTATTCGTTAAATGCATTTCACAAAGGTTGAGTTTAGGTGGAATGTAATAGATGTTTAATTTTACAGCAACAAGTATACTACAAACTTTGTGCTCACTGACCAGAGTTCCATTAAAAGCTAAAGTTTAAAATATACAAAATAAAATGAATTAAAAAAACATAATTATAGCAAATTTTACAAACAGTAAAATGGAATGTGCCCACATTCAATGAAACTGACTCATATTAGTCAACTTATATAGCTGCATTTAGAATGGATTTGAATGCCCTTGCAATTTACTTAAATTGTAAAACATACTGTGAATCTTTATAAAGTGGACAATACAGCAAAACATTTTCAACTGTTCCTTTGCCATAAGGATAACTTTTAACAGAAATTTAATCCCAGGATAGTGAAAGCCTCTGTCTGACTAGGAAGATTTTCTGCCAGTCCAGAAGATAGGGAAGGAAAAGGAAGGTGTCCTTTGAGAATCTTCCAGTAAGGCAATAATCAGAGAATATATATCACACTTCCCATTTTTAGAGTCTCTGCTTTAATGAGTTATTACAATCCTATTCATGACAGTCCTGGTCTTTAGGTCAAAGTGGACGAAAAATGATGGCAAAAGTATGCCCACATTTATTATGTACAAAACTTATCAAGAAAACAAGAGCAGTTAAAACCCACTTGCTTACGGTGAAATATTTTGGAAAGGGAAAAATTATGTGCGATAAATGTGTAATTCTTCATGATAAAGCAGGAAGAAGAAAAATACTGTAATACACTAAACAAATCACCTTTCTCAAAAACCATATCATTAAAAGATTATAAAGAACATAAACAACTAACTTGATTTATACTTCACTTTAAAAAATCTGGCAGCATTTCAGAAACCTAGCCAAGAAAAAGATAAAGCCATAAAAAGATACTGGACCTCTGCAAGGGTGAAAACCACCCACCACTTAACTTGAAAAAAATATATAACAAGAGCTTTGTTTAAATAGTACCAAGACTTGGCAGTTATAGTTTGAAAAATTGGAGAAATTTCAAAGCCCAAAAGAGTACCATCTTCTGTTTCAGTTGTTTAATGTCCTTAGTATTAATGTCCAAGGATATGATGCAAGAAGGGATCATCTAAATCTTTAGGCTAGGAGAAACTGGGTTAAGAAATCTTAAAGGGCCTTTAGAAACTTTAACAACCAAGCTCAAAAGGCTACATATTTAGAAGGTGTGTAAAAGGCTACATACATTGGAAATATATTTGTAATGTACATAATTAACATACTTTTGAAATACAATCATTTTTGTGTAGATGAGGAAAAGTAATCTCAAAAAAAACCCCACATACTACACAGACTCCTGCATAAAAAGTGAATATATATTTTCAGTGAAAACTATTCAGCAAAAAAATACAAATATTCAGGTAGCTAATATTTATTAATAAAATTCTTCAATTTTTAGATGTTCATTTGTACAAAGTGTGTTTTGATTAATCACCCCATCTACTACATACCTATTATCTGAACTAGATACAATTAAACTAGATTCTGCTAAATCTTAATTACGGTCAATCTGATCATTTAAGAAAATCTATAGTTTGGTAACAAATTTATTAGGATCCCAAAAAGCAGTAAAAAGTGTGTGCCAGATTTGAATTCTTCAGAAATTTTTATCAGAAAAAAAATGTGGAATACCCAAATGATGGAGAAAAAAGCAAGGGATGTCTTTTGGGACTAGATCAGGTATTTCAGCCATGACTCTTGTTAAAAATCAAGCTCAAAGGAAACTGAAATTAAACTGAATTCATTGTTTAGCAATAAGTATAATCTGTATTAGATTACTTCTAATGATTATTTTTCCTCTCCCATCAACTCTAAAAGCACAAATGCCATTTATTTCCTGCCATAAGTGAAGCTTGGGGGCTTCTGGGCTGACCAAAGCAGAAAAATGGAATATTAACCCTTTAAATCAGCAAAGGCAGAGAATCATTTGGGACAGTGTACCAGGTATAAAGTCAAATGCATGCTGAAATAATATCCTGAAGTAGACAGAGGACTCAAATGAACTGCTTAGTCATCTTAAAGGTGCCAAAGTTGAAAAAAAAAATGGCTTAGCCAATGAATTAAATAAACAATCTGAAGAAAAGATAATATACACAGACATGCAAGCATTTCCGTAACAGAATAGCAATTTTATGCCCAGAATGAAACCAATTGATTCTATTCTTTGAGAAAAGGCAACTACCGGTATTGCAGGAAGCAATACTTCATTAACATATCTTGTTTTCTGTTTAAAAACAGAAATAACACACATGTCCCATCTCTTCAGTATGGAGATTCATGAATGAAAATATTAAATTATGAAGTAACAATGTCATAACAGATTCAACTTTAAAAAGCACCATTTACTGAAAGAGTATTGTAAATGAAGATCATTCCATGGTAGAGATACAAATTTCAGGACAGCTTAAATTAACTGAACTAAAAGCTTTTAATCACTGTATTTACCAAGAACTAGAAGCTAAATAAATGAATTATAAGTATTAGGGATTAAGTCTAGCTTATTCCGACATAATTCTGACTACATGAATATCATTGCTACAACCTGAGAACCAAAATCTGACAACTGTACTCTCCATTCTTCAAGTAATTTACCCACTAACATTAGAAGTGAGACAAATGAAGAGCAAATTAAGCATTTTGTGTTTTTAGAGCCAGTTTGGTTTAGCAATTAAGGCACCAAGCTAGAAACCAGAAGACCACAGGTTCTAGTTTGGCCTTAGGCATGAAAGCCTGCTGGGTGATTTTGGGCCAGACACTCACTCTCAGCCCAACACATCACACAGAGTTGTTGTGAAGAAATTAGGAGGAGGAGGATCATTTATAAATGACTCAAGTTGGCAAACATAGCTAATACTCCAGAGTCGTTTACTTGAGTCATTTATAAAAATAATAAAGGCATGATATAATTAAAATTAAATAATAATTTTCTTCATCTAATCACTGTATATTGCTTTCCAAAAATAACATGGCTCAAACAAGCAAGTTTTCTAACTGCATCGTGATAGATAAAATTCAAATGTTTAAACATTCTTTAGAATTACAAAATAGATCCCTGAATAATAAAAGTTAGCTTACAGGTTTGTATCTTAGTGCATCTCTGTAGGAACCAAACAAGGCCACCTGAGCTCTAAGGAACGCCCTGGCTACTCCATCACCAGTAGCTGTGGACTGCTTCTTCAGTTGATTTTTCAGGGCCGAGACCTGCACAACAGAGAAGAGCAGTTAATTTGACACTTCAGAAATTGGTAAAGGGAGGTACAAACCCAATCAGTAGGCAAGCTATGGTGTCTGCAGGTCAGCCAAAAAATCATGCCCTTCCTTGATAGCTTATCTTTTTAACTGCAAAACACACCTGCTGATCTGTTAATTGAAATGAAAGCAGGGGATGCTGGTAAGTGCTAATGCAAATTGGTTTATGCTCTCTTTTTTTTCCAAGGCCTCTTGACATAAATAAGCTTTAATTATTTTACAGTAAGTGGTTTGGAAATTCTTTTTCTGTAGATTTCTTGCCACCATCATAATATGTGCTTGGGTGTCCCGGATAAAGACAAACAGGTATCTTTTAGTTGAGTTACAGAAATTTTTTAAATTTAGCTTATCCCTTAGTGTAACCCCATTTATTTTTATACCAAACTCACAACCATGTTTGTTTTTTTTCTCCTGCCAGAAGAGATTTCACTAATGCTGTACTTTATCAGGACCCAGAAATGGTTCAACTAAATGGTAATGGCAATGCTTTTATAAAATCACTATACTGCAGCTTATGAGTTGTATCTATCTCTGAACAAGCTCGGTATCAGAACTAATGTTATATAGCCTACATGTATGTTATAAATAAGTGTCCATAGTATATTTAAAAAATATAACCTGCTTTTCAAGGGATTTATCAGAAAGTTGGGAAAAGAAGAAAGGACGCAATGGAAGGGCAGGATGGATAAAGTGAAAGCTGAGACACTGATTTGGAACATTTAGATGAAGTATGAATGGAAGACAGACTAAAATTAATGAATGTATAAATATCCATATGCTTAATAACATAACACTTAATATAGATCTTGAGCCCCAGAAGACTGCCCATTCCTTTTATATGTATTTTTTCAGTCAATTAGCATATAATACAATAGATTCCATATATATAGACAAGGAGCTTACGTGAGATTCTTGATCGATAGTATCTAGATAAAAACTATGGGAACTGTAGGTCCACAACTGCAGAAAATATTCTGCCAATAATTCTGAGAACCAGAGCACTTCTGCTTTTACAGAAGAATTGTATTAGAGTTAATAATGAATTAATGATTCTTATTTTGCAGACAAGTACACAGATTGTAAATATCACTGAGTGCAGCTTATGCAAAATATCTCATCACAGCTAGTATAGTATATATCTATGAAAATCAAAAGGCATTACTAAAATATCATTTTTTAAAAAATGAGCAACAGTGAATATTCTTTTTTCTTCAGAAAAGCAGCCATGATTATTCTTGACAATGATTATTGTAACTGAAGCATCAGTCTAATTAACATTGAAACTCTGAATAATGCTAATGAGAGCTGAACATGGCATCGGAGAAAAGACTAGCTCTACAGGTGATAAACCTTCACAATAGTGACATTTTCCAATGTAAAGTCACAGTTACTGTGATATGATCAAAGACAGAGACCCCCATTGGGTCTAATTATAACTATAGTTTTGGAAAAGAATTACTGAGTTATTATGTTTATAAGCTATGCAAAAAGGCCTTCACCGTATATGTCCTCTCCCTATAGTGATCTTTTCCATTTATATCCAAGCTCCATGGATTCAGATAAAAGTTTAGAGTCTGATTCATTTAGACGTGGAAAACCTATACCAATATTCATATAAGTTTAACCACGCCCATCCAAACAAATCCCAATTTTTTTGAAAAAATATATTAAATTAGAAGTTTGTGAAGTAATTGATTCACTCAATATATTAATAAAATATACATACAGTTATGTACCATATATAGTCCTTTAAAGAAGGAAGCAAGGTATCAAAGCAACAGCAATTGTACAGTACATAATGGAGCGAACCTATGTAAATATTAGAAAATCATTTAGCTGTTTCTGTAAGGTAATTATTGGAACAATGTAAAAGCAAAAGAAATAATCTTAAGCATTTTTAAGATATAAGATTCACTGAATTCAACAAGTCTTCCCTCCAATAAAAAAATGGAACAAATGAACACTATCATGCTATCTGCTATTTTTTCTCAGATTAACAATGTTTTAAATTAACCTCAAGGAAGACTAATGCATAGCGGAGGTGTGAAAAACATTTCAATTTGTTTAAACCTAAGAGACAATTTGCTGCTATTAAAAAGATATTGCACATACTAAATCTAAGATCGCATCAATTGCTCTTGTATTGGATTCTCATTGCTCTTTGTCTTGTAGCATAAGGGGTGATGCTGGTAAACTGGAAAAAATGCAGGGGCCAGAGTCACCAACTTCTGGAATTAGTGAGAGAACTAGGAGGTACTGCCCTGGATAATCAAAAGGGAATACATGTGAGCGTGTACTCACACAAACACATAAACACAATATTGGAACTTGTCAAATCTGACATTATATTGAAAGGTTAAAGCACTGAATCAATAACCAATTTACTAAATGTAAATAGAATGGAGCACTGAAATTAATCTTCAATCCCCAATATTAGAAGGAATGCTGCTGTTTAATATTTGTAGGTAACCCATGTATTATCAGGTATACTTCTTCCTTTTAACAAGAGGACAGAAAGATATACCGTACTTTCTGGCGTATAAGACGACTTTCGAAAGCGTTGAAATCGGCGCCAAAGTCGGGGGTCGTCTTATATGCCAAGTCGTCTTATACGCCGGAAATAACAGTAATTTCCGTCGTATAAGATGACTTTCTAGGCATGCGATGCGGCGCCAAAGTCAGGGGTCGTCTTATATGCCGGGTCGCCCTATACGCCGGAAAATACGGTAGTTAAAACACAAAGTAGAGAGCAGTACAATGGTACTTCATGACCACCTTTTTCTGTTCATTAGATCAACCATGGCCACAGCTTTATAGCAAGATGCATGCTGCTTGCCTGTAAACATTTAAATGAATAGAAGGAGGATCTGCCATCACAACAGTACCCCAACTCCATACTATGCCTAGAAAATGGGCTTTTAAGTGGCTAGACTTGCTGAATACTAAGGTTAATGAAAGAAAAGTGTTTGGGTTTGCTGAAAATCAATAGATACAATCATTCTGATACAATAAAAGAATGTATGTATAAGAAAATGAATATTTATTGGTGCATTTTAAAGAACTGCTGTTAAATAATGTGTGGTTCATATACAGATACTTCTCGACTTACAACCATTTAGTCAGTGACTGTTCAAAGTTACAATGGCAGTAAAAAAATGACTTATGTCCAGTTCTCACAACCGTTGCAGTGTCCTCGTTCACATGATCAAAATTCAGGTGCTTGTTGAGTGACATGTATTTATGACAGGTGCATTATCCTGAGGTCATGTGATCACCATTTGCAATCTTCCAAGCTGACTCCTGACAAACAAATGGCAGATTTTCTTAATGACCGCATGATTCACTTAAGAATTGCAAGGATTTGCTTAAATGTGGCAAAAAGATCATAAAATGGAACATGACTCACTTAATAATTGCGTTGCTTAGCAACAGAAATTTTGGGCCCAACTGTGGTTTTAAGTAGAGGATTACCTGTAATCGCCTTACTAGAGACATTCCTTTTAAATGGGGTGTTACATAGACATTAAAAAATTAATTAATTAATTAATTAATTAATACGCATAGACGCATACATTTTGAAGCAATTTAAATAATTCAAGTTATAAAATAATTTAGAGAACATTTTGAGAAATGGTAAACTTTTTCTTTTTGATTTTAAAAATACCAATATATTCTACTGCCCTGTCTCCCCTCTTCCTTTTGGTGACTACTGATTAGTATATTTCACTCTAAACTATGAGCTACTTGATATTTCACTCTAAATTATGAGCTAATACACTTCCACTTACTTAGCAGTAATAGAATCTCAACCTGATCACTGGGGCAGAAGTGCAGCTCATCCTGCAGCGGTATGCTTTTAAAATACATTAAAAAATGATCCAAGTTCTAGAATACAGAAGTGATGCTCTGAAAGGTGTGAGGGAACCATTACTCTAGTTCTGAATGAATTGTACTAGTTATCATTTCATTTCAGTTAAAAAAACTCACTTTTGTTTTTTGCTTTTCTATTCTAAAATCTATATTGTAGTGCAACCTGGATATCTGAAGATCATTCCTTCCAGTGCTTGCCTGTCCCAAACTACAAGGTGATTTGAGGTTTTCTGGGGAGTCTTTTGAGGATCACTACGACACATAAATTATTAATTCCAGAAGTTGCTTTTCTATTTAATAAATTCTCTCTACAGAAACGATTTGTCAAAAAAAGTTTACTTTCAGAGAAAGAGTCTGGTTTTTCCTTTTTAAAAAAGATTTTATGGATTAGACTGACCTGAATTTAATGAGAATTTCATGCTCATTAGCTTTTACTTTAATTATCTTTTTATGATGGGATGTAAATTATAAGTCTGTTTGAAAGTTAATTATAATAAAAATATCACAAGGCATTATATGTAATATTCTATGAGAATATACTTTTAGACTTCCAGGCACTGAGAATGAAACATTAAATAATATTTAATAAATAATTACTGTCTGAAACCAACAATCTTCAATCTTCTTTTTTCAGAAGATTGAAGATATGGTTTTCTTCTATCTACTAGCATCTTAGAACATTGTAACTTCATTTGAGGTTTTTAAATATTCTGCTTTCAGGACAGTATTGTTTGACACAGTATTATTCAGGTGTTCTGTTTAAGGATGTACAATTAAGATATAAAGATGAACTTAGGATAATCATGTTGGTTTCAACTTTTTTATTTTGCCATTACCAAGAATTCTGCCATTACTGAAAAGCACCAGCCCTTCTCAACTTAATTTCCACAGAACCCGGGGTACCATAACTTGCCAGCGGTTAGGCAAGACATCATGATTTTAAAAAATTCATTTTTTGAACTATGTGTATGAACTGTGTAATGTTCAACCTCTCGGTGGAAATTTTTTTACATGCCACAACTCAGCTGTCAATTTATTGTTCTTCTGTTGTTATAAAGTAAAATGTGGACTGTGTAGGTTAG